TGTAATCTTCATGAATGATTTAGTTTAGCATTACTGTGAGAAGAAATTAGAAGCTGGTCACTCTTAGGTCAATGTGAGTTCCTTGTGCAGTATTTTATGGATATGCAAAATTGTTTGCAATTTTTAGGGGATTGGCAGGGATGATACTGCAATGAGAGCATTTGGCTTGCAATGTCCTTGGTTTCAATCCTAAGCATGATGCTTCATGGAAACTGAGTTCACTGTAAATTCTAATCCTTACCAAAGGGTTTTTTTTTTCAGATTTCCAATTTCAACCAATTCAACAGGTTGAAAACAGTGGACAACAATCCACCTTGTCAGGATGCCCATGCTAAAATTCAATCTCTTTAATTCATTTATTTGTTAAATCATTCATTTTCACTGTCAAGTCCCCTCCTATTTATCACTAACTTGCATCAGACGACTAGAAGCTGTTATAGCAGCAGTTGCATCTGATTTTGATCTCTGGTGAGTTTTCTTTGGTGGAGTGGTAAATGTTGAGCCTGTGGCTCCTGGAGAAGCAGGTAAAGGTAAGGAGTGAGAACCAGCAGATCCAGATGGACTTAAGGGTGACCTGTCACAAGTAAAATAGATATTATATAAATACATGCATAGATTAATGAAAAATGTTAGTCAACACTTACTGCACTTGATGCATTATAGAAAATGTTTCCTTTTTCAACGTGCAATGAATTTCAATCACATACCAGCAAAATTTTGTATGAATGCATGGGGCATTTTTCTTTCTTCTTCTTTTTTTTAATTCTGTTTCAATGTTAGGCAAGAGCATTTATAAAAACTGTCCTTTGAAGCAGCAAAACACTCATCCCATCACAATGTTTCTTGAATAATTCCCTCAACATTCCTAACTTTAACTTTGTCAGTTAGGAACTATGAAATTACTCAACCAGAATTCAATCTACAGCTATAGAAGAGAAGTTTATGAAATGCAGGTGTACCTTGGCCTGAGCTCATCCAAAATCATTTGTAGTAGCTTGACACCTCTGGCATATTCTTTTGATGGTAGCCATCCATCAGCACAGTAGGCTTCTAACAGCCAAGAAGCCTGGAGAGTTTTTAAAAGCCATAAATTTACATGTAAAGCTTCACTCCATTGAGCATGAATTGTCAAGTTCTACTGTGAATTTACTAAAAACCCATGCCACAGATTGCCATAATTTATAGTTCAACCCATAAAGTGTTGTGTACAAAGCAATAAAATATAAATTTGTTTGTTGAGTAGTAAGCCTTTCCCAATGATAATGCCAGCTACCTGTCACCATCGAACTGTTGGACTTCTGATGAATACTCTAGTATGCATTGCAGATTGTATGAATACATATTCAAAGATTCTTGAGCTGCATTCAGTTGCTGGTTGATTAGGATAATAATGGTAACCAAAGCTGTCTAAAAGAGCCTCTGCCATAAAATTTACTTTGGCAAAGTGTGTGCAGGGTTTGAATCACACATATTATACATAAAAAATGCCCAAAAAATTGGTTAATGTATTGTAAGTAAGTGAACTGTTTAATTAATCTCACATACCTGTAGAGCAAAGGCAAAACTTCTTTTGCATCTCTCCACCAAATACCTATGAAGGGCCTCTGACACTTCTTCCACATGGATGTACATGTTACTTAAAACATAATATTTTAGCCAAGTAATTATAGAATATGCTGACTGTAATACTGTTGTAAAAGGACATGTATAGTAAGTTAATACAGCACATAAGCACATAATAAATTAAAAAATAGCTTCTTGTCATCTTTTTGATTTAAGCATGAGTGTCAAAGGTAAGCAAGAGATTCACACTAAAAGAAAACTCAAATTCAAAACTCAAATTGTAAGAAATTTTTTGAACATTAATTCTCCACCATAAATTTTTGGCTATGCAATTAACCTTTGGGTAAATTTCAGTACCAAAAGACATCAATGATTTTTATTGGGTGATAACTATAAACTACACATAACAGCAATAACTTACATTAGCTGAGGCAAATAAAAGTTCACATCTTCATCATCAAAGGTCTAGGAGATAAACAAAATTGTTCTTAAAGACATACCCAGTTCTAGATTGTTTAGGAGATTGTGTATTGCTCTATCTTCACATGTGTGATTTAAAAAAAAATGTAAATTGTAGTTAAAAATCGTTCATCAAGGAGGAGGTGATAAGTGGTGAATGTTTACAAAGCAAAGTCCTGAGACAGATTCATGTATCTACCACTTTTGTGCACACTGAAGTGAATAATTGTATCAGTATATACCACATGAGAACAAACATATAATTCAAATCTGTCAATACCAAAAAAAAAAAACAGGATTTAAATCCAGATGCATGATTTTGTCTCTTTGGCTGCTGGGAATTTAAGTCTACTTTCTTGTCATTCCAAGCTAACCAACCGGTGTGCTCAAAAAGCACTATCACTTGTGTGATACCTAACAGTATGTAATATTAAGCTATGTCTTCTTTATGTCATGAAGCTACACAATGTTACCAGAGGTTATCAATTGAGAATATATCAATTGGATGTTATAAAACCAAAATCAAAGTAATCGTGACTACTCAATAACCGCTCCAATTAGTCCAATATCAAAAGGAACCAAAACAAACTCAAACTGAAGACATACAAACTGTTTCACTATGACTAAGCTGCAAATGGTTTAAGCTCTATATCTACTTTTCCAAGAGGTAAGAATTAAGTTTATGAAAAAATCACCAGCCATGATGCAGCAAGAACCTAAGCAATCTTAGATTGCTTTTGACACCTAACTGAAAATTCACAATAAATCGCACCTCTGTATAATAAAATTAAATGGCTCTAGGAGTTATCAGGAATAAAGAGGGGCAGCTAAATCAGAAATCTGAAATTCACACAAATTAAAGGTGGTTCTGAATCAATATTACTTTATCAATCTCAGCTTAATCTTATTAAGATATGCTCTAGATTCTACATTTAGTCTGTCATTTTCAAGTTAAAACAATTACTGCAGGACTAAAAAGGTTTTTTCCAAAAATTTTCCTATTTTGGAGTAAGTGTTTACAACAGGTCAAACTACTGGCATGGTGACTTACTCACAAAGGAGAGTATTATCATCGTTTGTGCATGCAAGATAATAACAATTAAATTACAGCAAAATTACAAACTGTGTCTGAATTGAGATATCAAAACAGGATTGTTGTAAATTATTGCAATCCATTTTGATCTCAGAATAACAATCCTCATAATACTCACAAATAGTTTGTTTCCAAGGTATGTAAGAACTCCAGGTTCTTTGGAATTGAATAAATACGCAATTGCTATTGACATGTCAAATAGCTTTGATTCAAACAGCCTCAATAACCAAGAACTCTTTGGTGGTGGAAGGCTAGAGTTTGAATCAGAGTTTGATTCAGCTAGGTCAAGTTTCAGTTGCTTTCGAAGATCTTTAGTCCTTTGTTGCATATCGCTTTCTGTCAATTGTGAGTCCATTTCCGTATGATACATATCACCATTAGGAAGAGGGAGCGTGTTACCCTCTTCATTTGGATTATTGTTCACAGGTATGTTTGTTTCACTAGATTGTGAGTCAGTTCCTACAACATCTTGCCAAGTCTTGAAAGGATTTGAGTTGGGAGAGGAAGGAATTGGTTGTGAAGTGCAACATGCTCCACTTTCTGTCATAACCGTTGTAATAAATTCTTCACCGCTGGGAAAAAAATCTTAGAGAGGCCAATTCCGACGTTATATTGCGCTCTTGCAACATTTAGAGCACGGAATACAAAGTACTCTGTATAGATGGACTTAGGAGGTTTATTACCGCAAACCACGCACAACTTGCTTGGCTTCTATTTCAAAACTGGACCTTTGAACTTTTTGTTGCGAAAGGGAAACAAAATGAAAAATCACGTTTTCTCTATGAAGTTTATTTATCGTGTCACGATGGCACGAAACCGATGTATCGAAATTTTCAGAATTAAGATGACCAAAAAGCAGTGCACTGTAATTAATACAGGCTCTCTTCTTCTCTTTCAGCCGAGCAGTGATGTTGTTAGTACCAGTTACGACGCCGAAAGTGTCAATACCAGACAAAAGAAATTCTTATGGTGTGAAGAATTTCAAGAGGAGCTACTAGTATCAAATCGGAAGTGAAGCTGATGTTGTGGTCGTCGTTGGAAAGGGCGGAATGGAATTCACTCACAGAAGTTACTATTCCTCTAGAATGTTCACAGCAACAGCGTTAACGAAGATCTAAGTCGATTCCTTTTACGTGCTAACAAAATTTTTCCTGATTGTCCAGGAAAGCACGACTTTTCCAATGGTTCAGTGAAGCGAATTGTACTTTTTAGTCAAATGACAGATTTTGATACGGTCCGTGTACTACTCACGATGTCTCCATACTCCGGTCATTCCCTTGTAAACCCTATCATCTCAGGCACAAATCACTGCAGAAGGAAACAGTATAGCTATTATCTCCTGTTGATATCCTAGCCACAGGGAAATAAATTCAACAGTTTCTCCCTATACAACTCCGATATGATGGTTAAAGGCAGGAAGAACAGCTGCCGCTGCAAATTACCCACAATGCTGAGCGAGGCCTGGCCATGTGAAGCCGTGGAGACCTGGATCCCACCAAGTTATAAAAACGAAAGTTTCGTTTTCAAAATTCCGTCTTTTATCGATTAAAAACCTTTGGAAGTTTGCCTATTACTAACAAATGCACCATTAACACCACTAGTCAATGCAGAATGAGGCCAGAATGTCTGATAACTTTGTATTTTATTGGTAGGCAAGCTTTTTTGGCTTGTTACTTTTATATTGATATTTAAGAATGCGAAAAGTACAAAAACTTATTCAAAGATGAATATATCTTATAATAAACTACATCATGAATGCCACCAGAGATTTGCATTGTTTTCTTTTCATTTTAATTTAAAAAATGTTCGAGGATAGTCTTGATGCATTGCGGTCCTATGATTTCGTGCTTCGGACTCAATCCCACAACCCATTGCAATTCCAAGTCAAGCTTGCTTTTCACGTGTGCTTTTCTTTGGTTTCATTGTGGAGTTGTTGTTTTCGGGCCAAAAGAAGCGTTTTTCAGAGATTAAGAAGAGTTTCCTGGTCTGGCAGAAAGGCCCGGTATCTTGAGGGCGTCAAGACACACATGGCATCAACAGAAGAAGCGGTAAAAAGTGAGAATTCGCCCGCCCAACCAGGTAACCCATCGGAAACAGCGAAACCAGCTCAGCCCGTTGCCACAAATCCAGTGACATCTACTGGCGCTGTAAAGGTGATAAAAGTTTTCCAGTTTTTGTCTTATTTCTTTTTTTTTTCTACTGCCCAAACTAAATTACATTCATACGTCTTGATTGGTTTGAAAAACTGTTCTGCACTTGGTTTAATGTCGACTTCGCGATAAGAACCAGTTACATTTATAGATTAATTTTCTGAATGATGCTAGGCGTAGAACATGATGCTTTGTTTTATTTTTTTATTCTTTGCAGCTTAAGGCAATTAACGTTATGATTAGAAAGCCTAATTATTTCTGTTGGAAATCAATGATTAAAGGGATTATTTTGATGCATGGTTCAGTCGTTAGCTTAGATCGTCTCTGTAAGTTACATGCTCCTCATTGGAAACCACAAACTTGTCACGAACGGTATGATATGATGGTTGACAAGCAGTTTCACTCTATATTAAGTTACGATTTATCTTAACATAGTTAATTGTAACTAATACATTGGAATCACATAATCCCAGTACAAATGACTGTGCAGTTATATCCTGTGTGAGACTTGGTACCACAATTTTACAGTCGTCATTTCAGTGCCTTGTCACAATGTATGGAAATAGCTTAGTCTTCAAACCAACTATAACCCTGTCTGTAGCGTCAGACAGATACACACTCGATTTTTCCTTTGTTACCATACATTTCACACAGCAGAATTGCTTTTGTGCACAAATGATCTTGTAGAGTTCTGTACTCAGCAGACTGGACTAGAACTCAATCCAGTACATGAATCTGGTGCAAAGTACAGGAAGTTGTATGTTACCAAGTTTTTTATTGATTTATCAGAAGTGTTAAACCCACAATCTTTGGCAGAGTAGTACTATTTCCTGGTCAGACTGAATTGCTATATTGACTTTCCAAATTCCTTCTTTTTCCCCTTTCTCCTCCCCCCTTCATTGCATTGTTGTTACATTTTAAACATGCTACATTTGACATCACAAAAAAATAGCAACCCTGTAATAGAAGGGGGGGGGGAATAGTAATGGATGTTCCACTTTTCAACGGTAGAAGGAAGAGTGTCCCAAACATATTGTCAAAGATTGTTGCTTGCATGCATTTGCTTTTGTGTCTCTGTACAATGTATATCATTGTATAAGACTTTGAATGGATCACTTTTTAACTTTTAATCATGGCAATTTTGTGGTTTTAGAATTAAATTCTTCTTATTTTTCTGACCCTTTCACTCAGAAGCCAAACTATATACTGAAATACACCTTATCAGGACATACAAAGGCCATCTCATCTGTGAAATTCAGTCCAAATGGAGACTGGCTGGCAAGTTCGTGTAAGTTTTGATGACGATTGCATCTGACTTTTCTTTGCAAGTGATGCTTTCATGGTGATGTTGACTTTCTCTACACATAGTTTGATATGAGCCCTTTGCTGTAAGGTCCAGCTCTTCAAAATTAGTTTAAACAGTTTTTACCTTTTCAACTTCTTAGTTATTAAATAAATAAGCATTTCCTTAACCCTATTTTAATGTAAGTTGTTAAATTTGCCCACCAGGAGATAACATTGTACACACTGCTTTCCAAGACAGTGAAACACTGTAATTTGTTTCCTAAGATAAATTTCTATACTCTGTTATAAATATCTATCTCTCTATCACTTAGAGAGATAGATTCCAACATCTTAATGATGTGAATGAAGATGTTAAATTTTTTTTTTACACTCCTAGTTTCAAAATTAAAGGGCTATAATTACTGATTGTAAAATCTTTGAGACATGAACAACAACCATAATCCTTCTTCATTATGTAAACTTTAGGTTTGATCATTTTGGTAACTTGCAAATTGCAATTGCTTATTGCATTGTCTTCTAATAAGATTTGATTTTAATGTTACAGCTGCAGACAAGTATATAAAAATATGGGGAGCTTATGATGGAAAATTTGAGAAAACAATCTCAGGACACAAACTGGTATGAGAAATTTGACTTGTTTGTGATATTATTTCTCTTTGACTGCCACTTCCTGGTAAATCTCCCCTCATTATGGGAAAGCTTGTGGTTGTCAATATGAAAGTTTTATTAAATCAGGGTGTTATAAAATAAGCTTATTCTGTGTTAATGATACTTGTGTGTATTCTTTAAATTTAAATATTTTGTAATTAATTTACCATTTATATTCTTAATGGTATACGGTGTTTGTTTTCCTCTTGAAGCAAAACTGAAAGAAGGAACAAACAGGTATCCTGGTATTTATTGTCTTTGGTTTTTTTCTCAGGGTATTTCAGATGTGTCTTGGTCTTCAGATTCAAAGCTACTTGTCTCTGCATCTGATGATAAAACACTGAAAATTTGGGATTTTGCCACTGTAAGTCATTGGCCATGTTCATAGCCAATAATTTGTAGCAATTTTGTGATTTCTTTGATTTAACATCACACGAGCTTGGTGCACATTTTTTTAAAATGCATAGTTGTTTGTAGTAAATTTATTAGTGTATTTATGGTGACTGTTTAACTCCCTTAAGCATCCAAAACAGAATTTACTTTTTACAATATCAACACATTATCAAGTAGACTAGTAACACAAGAATGAAGAAAAATGTAATTTAAGGGATTATTGGTCAATCCAATACCAAATTCTCCAAACTAACATTATGAGAGTTGTATGGTTGGCAGTAAGGAGAATTATTAATCAGATCTTGATGTTCTCATTCTAGGGAAAGTGTCTGAAGACACTCAAAGGACATAGCAATTATGTGTTTTGTTGTAATTTCAACCCTCAATCTAACCTCATTGTGTCTGGATCGGTGAGTATCATGACTGTTATTCCAGGTCTGAAATTAATTATCTTGCTTGTTGATGTGACATTTGTGTTTTTGTTTTGTATGAAAACTTCACTTTTATCAAGCATTGTTAACAGCAATGCAACATGAATTGTTATTCATTTCACATTTACGAACAGGGAAGTTCTATATTAGTAAATTAATTCTGATTGGCTAGTCATGCCCTCCAACTCGAGGAAATCCTCATTAAGCAAGTGCTTTTAGGTTATAAACTCCTTGAAGAATTTGTTCCAAATTTCTCAGCCTAATCTTTCTTCAGTTTGATGAGAGTGTACGTATTTGGGATGTCAAGACAGGAAAGTGCTTGAAGACATTACCAGCTCATTCAGACCCTGTGACAGCGGTAAGAACGTTTTTTTTTAATTTGATAAGTGCAAGTTTATATTGCAGTAGCATTAAAATTCTTATGCTGTATTGATCATGGAATTCAAAGTATGTTTCCCTTTACAACTCCACTTTTTTAATGAAATATGATTCCTCTCTTCCGTTACTGTCAGTAGCAGTTAGCTACATTAAAGTTCACTTGAATTTTCACAGCCTGATCCCTGTTAAATCAAGGCTAGTAATTCTGGTTCATGTAATGATTTATTCATCTAAGTTCAAGTTAAGATAGCAGTAGCGTTATACTCCTTACACTGTATTGATTTTCCCAGCCTATCCTTAAGTTAAGGCTGGTAATTCTGGTTCATGTCATGATTCATTTATTTTGCCTGTTTGCTCCTTTTGGTCAGGTATGTTGATACCATTAACAAGTGTTCTATATACTACAGAATGGTGAACTTAAGTTGATGTTTATTCATTAAGATATATTTTTGTGACTTTTCATGAACAGGTTCATTTCAATAGGGATGGTGCTTTGATTGTGTCAAGCAGTTATGATGGCCTCTGGTGAGTTTAAAATGTTGCTTTTCTGATATTCTTTTGATATTACCTGCATGATACAGTTTTGATTTGAATTTTTTATCTGTTTTGTTTTGTTGAAGATCATTTGACTCTTAAAAGTGTCTCTTATTAAATTCTTCACTGCTCATCAACACAAGTTCTTCTATTCATTCCAAGGGTCAACTACTTTACACTTTGGGATCGTGCCTTTGTTCATGCTGCTCCTGTTTTAAGGAACTTGTTACTGTTTTCAATTAGAACATGTAGCACCCTTGCCACTTAAATAAAACAACTTTCTTTTTGAGAAAGCTCTCTGTAGAAGCTTGTAGTCCTTATGTAAAGTGCCTATGAATGTGTTTGTAGTTTTAGCACTATGGTCATAACTATTATTATTATTTACATGTAGTTTGACTGTTTTTTTCTTCAGTCGTATTTGGGATACAGCTTCAGGGCAGTGCCTTAAAACTCTAATAGGTAAGTGAAACTGAGTTGTTTATTATTATTATTATTATTGTTATTATTATTATTATTATTATTATTATTATTATTATTATTATTATTATTTGAAATGTACATAATTAAAATATTGATAGTGATTCCATTACTGACTCATGAAATGTTGGATCTTTTCTTAGATGATGACAACCCACCAGTATCATTTGTGAAGTTTTCACCCAATGGAAAGTATATATTAGCAGCCACATTAGACAAGTGAGTTTATCTGCCATGGTCAATTTTGTGTATGGAGTGTTAGAGCATTTGCTGTAAGTGGCAATATTCCATGGAAATTCCTTTTGGGTACTTGAATGAAATATATCTCTTTCATTTCTTTTCAGTACATTGAAGTTGTGGGATTACAGCAAAGGAAAGTGCTTGAAAACCTATACAAGTCACAAGAATGAGAAATACTGTATTTTCGCAAATTTCTCAGTAACTGGTGGCAAGGTACTGTATAACTGTGTAGAATTTGTTTTTGTTGTTGTTGTTGTTGTTGTTGTTCAGTTGATACTTAATTTTATTTCAAAAGAGCCAACTATTATACCTTGGGTTGTAACTCTACCAGAACACTTTTTTAGTGCATTGTCCAAATATATTTAGGGTTACAATATTGTGGTTTATTAGTCTAGGAAACTTGCATAACCAGCCTGACCCTTTAACTCCCAAAACTGACATATGTATAATTTCTGCCTATGATATCCATTTATTATCCAGTAAACAGGTAATGAGAATTCTTAAATCTATCAGCAATAGTTGTTATCTTGATCCAACTCCAAAATTTTTGTAACTTCTCTAGAAGGAAATGTTTAGCAGTGAGATGGAAGAATTAACAATCAGATCTTAAAACTAATTGGGACTTGGTGATCATTGTCATGCTTAGCTTGAGGCAGTTTGGTTTTAGTACCTGTGAGCTGTCACAAGCTCTAAGAAATAGGTACCCTTGTTCTGAATGGTCGTTGTGATTGCTTTGTTTATTTAGTATATTTAAAAGTGTTCTTGGACATTGTAGCCCAAACTTAGTTGTAGATTGAGAACAGCCATTTCACTGTTAGGGATATCTTTTCTTCAGTAAAATTCAGGAGTGTTACATGTAGAAGAATATTGCTTTTGGCATCATGATGATGATGTTTATTTTGTGTTCACAGTGGATAGTGTCTGGGTCAGAAGATAACCTGGTGTATATCTGGAACCTGCAATCCAAAGAAGTTGTGCAGACACTTGAAGGGCACAGTGGTATGTTGTGTCTTTTTTTGTGGAACATAATAAAATAAAAGGTTTCTATTTAAGTAAGGGCCAGACCTCTAAAGGATGAAAGTGTGGGGGCTGTTTTTAGAACCGAATTAAATGCATCAAAAAATGAAAGGTTTCTATCAGAGCATTTAAGGGCCTAATCTCTGAGAGGTAAAAGTACAGGTATTGTTAGAAGAACAGAATGAAATGCACCTCAGGAAGTTAGCTGAAAATTTTTCTTTCCAATTTGTTTCCACAACAAACTTGCTTAAATCTGATGGATTTTTGGAACTAATGAAAATTGCTTGACTTGGTTAATATACTTGGAGCTTAAGAAATGCATAGTTTGACTGCATGGACAAATAAATGTAGCATCACAAGTGCTTAATGTGAACTGTCTTAATCAAAGCTGCTGGTGATATGAAGAATAGTTAGCAAAGAGGATGCCAAGCCTTACTTAAATCATTTTTTTTTGTTTTAGATGTGGTCCTTTGTTCTGCCTGCCATCCAACTGATAATATCATAGCATCTGGTGCCCTAGAGAATGACAAAACTATAAAAATCTGGAAATCTGATTCATAACAGGAGAAATGCAAGCACCTGAGTTTCTGCAATGCTGTTGTGCTAAGGAAATATAGTATTACTTTTCAAACCTTAACACTTACTTCCATGTAACGTCCCTTTTACAAAATCAATACTTCCAGAAAGCAGGTGATCAGAATAGACAAACTCATATAACCTCAAAAGTTTTCTCTGGATAATACACCCAATTCTTATCACTCATTCACAAGGAATTTACAGCTGGTATAAGGGAGACTTCTCTTTCTGATTTTGGGGGTGAAGGGTTGATAGTTATGGCCAGATTTGCTGCCAGTAGTGACAAACCATTTCTCCCCTTTTTGTGTAGAGCTACTGTTGTCAGCACCACTTTAACTGTATCCTTGGCTTACGTTTTACTCAATTGATAGTCATCTTTTCTTTTTGAGTTTCCCAAGCCAGTCAAAGGGCTAGAGAGAAATAGGATGCAGTAGCTAGTGTGCTTACTTTGAACAGTGACCTGAAACATGGTGGTCAAACATCTGAGCATGTGCAAACCTTGTTATGATTAGGTGACACAAGTTCAGGTTGTCAGAACCAAATTAAGCAACTACACAAGCTACTTCTTTGTTAAGAAGTGTCACTTATCATTTAGGAGGCAATTTCAGAAACTAAGTTCTCCTACGGAGATTTGTAAATTGCATACATGGGAATGCAAGGCTGAATTTTGTACTTATTTCTGGCTTTTAGTTCTCACTCAAGTTTTGTGTTGCATAAATACCCTTTAATGTTTGTATTATATTGTATTATTGTGTAATTGTGTTTTAAAACAGGACATAGATTCTGATACAATCCTTACTTGTAATTAGTCTAAAGAAAATAAACAAAAATGGAAAAATATTGCAGTAAAGAAGTTTTTGATTGTGTTCATGTTGTATATTAAAGTTCATTAGACAATCATTTGTCTGATGAAGTGTGCTGAAAGTTTTAAGTATAATCTCTACTGAAGTAAGAGCTTTTTTCACACCAGGTATACTTTCTCTGAGTTTTAGGGTGCCCTGTTACCATGAGTTTTATGTCATTGTCATGGCAACACTTCCTCCAATGCTGACTAAATCATATCTCCTTATCCTTTGTTTCTTTAAAGTGGTGGTAAATAGAAAGAATGACTGCTATTGTTGCAAATAAAAAAACTGGAATCAGAAACATGAAAGAAAATCTTTGGGAGGAAGGAACAATGAGCTTCTCCCATAGTCTTTCAGTTATTTCCCTCCAGACTTGCTTAGAGGTGCCGATTTAAGTGTTAGGTCAGGGTATAAATGTAATTGTAAATGATAGCTTGCCTAAATAGCTCACTGTCACCTTTAATTCCTTATAAATTACTTTTAAGATCAAAACCGTTATTAATACAGGAACAATATCAGTCCAAGTACACCTGTATGGGTTAAAATGTTCAATATGGTATTGATCCTGTTTCACTTGTCCCAATTATTAGCATAAAAAAGTCAATTTTTAAGGAGAATATGTTTCAAGGGAATTCCAATCATGACGGCCACATTTCAGGGAAAGAAGCAGAGAACACATGTTTATTAACAGCTGTGAAATAAGAAGTGCACCTCAATTAGAACAACACAAAACCTGAAGTTTTTACAACATAAAGATTTAAAATAGAGGAAACATTGTTCTGAAGTTGTATGAAAGTTTGCGTTGTCATTTTGCCCAAGTACGAGATTTATTTGATATCTGAAACATAAAGATAAGTTATCAAATGTTGAAGAGTACAGTTTGGTATAACTAAGCTTAGGCAAATCAAGAGAAAAACACGCGGGACTTGTGCTTTAAGCAAATTTAAGACCATTTAAGAAATATGTGATTACTTGTTTATGATAAAAATAGATTTGTAATGGTGATTGCTAGGGATTTGACTTCTTTTAATGTTTCCTTGATGGCTTGATGATTTAGAGAAAAAATTGTGTAATTCCTAAAAAATGGCACTACTAAGACCCAGTTGGATTTCGAGGATTACCAGCGATTTCATAACAGGTATAATAAACATTTAAATTTCACGTAATTTAATTTCAGTTTTGGAAGCGAACGCGAAATGTTTCAGGATCGACCGTTACTCAGCCAGTAAGCAAACACGAATCTCAGTATATCACGCGGGAGCCCTGGGTCTGAGATCCGGTAAGCCGTATTTCCCGGGCTCTTAATACGCGTGCGCAGATCAAGCGTGACTTTCAGAGCAATATTTTTTCTCTGTTCTCCTGTGCTCATTCGCTTGGCTTGACGTTAAATATCGCAGGAAGCTCCCCCGAAGATGACACCAATACTTCTCAGAAAACATTTTTGATTTCTTACGTCCACAATCCCGACTGTTATGGCTCAAATGTCGTCCTCGAATTCAACATCTGCTCAGACGAGTCAGGGGCGAGCAGGACGTCGTCGGAAGAGGCCGCATCCTCCCGTTTATGGTGGAATTATGAACTCTTTCAGCGATAAAAATAGCGATTTCGTTTGGTAAGAGCAAAATTATTGATTAGATACGTTTTCCTGCTCATAATGGGTCAGTAATCTTTGCCTTCGTGCATTTTTTTCCCAGTGAATGTTGCGTGATTTAAAACCAGTCTAATTGCTCTGTGGTACAAATTAGCTTATCTGTTTTTGTTTTTCTTCTACAGTCCGATCTGTTTTGACACCATCGATGAAGCTTTCATGACAAAATGTGGACATACCTTTTGGTAAGGATTTATTTTCTTAGAATTTTGAATATCAGAATGCCCTAGTGGCTCGTTGTGTGCACATCACCTGAGATTGTCTCACAGTTAAGCCCTAAATTTTTTGCATAGTTAGATGTCTTTGAGCTTTCCATGCCAATTCATTTGTATATGTAAACTTTGTCATGCACGCCAGGGTAGTCCCACCAGCAATGACGACTAGTATTTGTTTCAGCACTGATAGGGTTAAAAAAAATTCCATAAAATTCAGCCTTTTCAAGTTCAAAATTCCATTTATGCTTGAATGAATTACAATGCGGCAAGACATTTGGTGAAGGTCAGTTGCTTGTGGACATGTAGCTGTGGGTCATGAGATAAAGGATTTACATAGGTAAGATTTCTGCACAACCCTGTACTTCATAATGCATGCAGTTCTTGGATAAAGAAAACAATTGGGTAAACATTAGGTCATCATGGGACCGCAGCTTTGTTTTACAATAGTACAGGGCTGTGCAAAAAATCTTACCTTTACCTGACATAAATACATGCACAAGCACAGTTCATTCCTAAAAATCTGAGTGATCGGTTGCAAGGACATGTGAGGTTAAAGATACACATACATTACATTTACAGTTCTATTTGATACTGCTTGATCAAAAATCATTTCTTTCTCAAGTTAGTTTTTCCCTGTGTCTGGCTGCATAAATTGTAATTGGTATAAATTTGTGTCCCAAACCATTAGGACAAAGTGGAACAAATTCTTTTTGTCCCTTGCAGTGAATAAAAAATTACACACAATAGCAAGTTTGATAGTTGGACTTGAACAGCTGATCCTTTAATATGATTCCAACAATCTCTTTCTCAGACACTATAATCCTATTACAGGATTTCCTACATGTGCAAATCCTCTTGAATGCATTCATCATTAACCTTCTGGCCTGAACAAATTGTTCTCTCCTATTAACCAGTGTACTTTAATTGGATTATTGCAATAACCATGTTTGTGAACTATTACTGACCTTGACCTTGTCCTGACTCTGAGTTATTCATATCAATTGTAAATGAATAAAGATTGACTGGGTGATTGATCAGCATTGCTAATTCTATCATTATTTGAAGCTTCATCATTAGAATAGCATCCACATTGTTTAAGTACATTTGCTTTGTTTCATGGGGAGAAGTTGTTACAGATCTTATATGTGCCTAATTAGTATTGCTGAAAAAATGGAACCAGAGAGTGAGTCTAGATAATCAAATAATCTAGATAATTGTGGTTAGACCGTCTATGTATGTGTAAACTACAGCACAATGGTCAGACAAGAAGAGTGCAGCCAATCAATACAACCCAGTAGTTGTTTCCAAGTTATCTGGTGGTTATCAAGGAATAAAACCCAGTCTGTAAAGTAACATGATCTTAATCCAGGATGATATCTTTGAGAAGTGTTTCTAACTCCTAAAATCATCTGTAATCCATTTAGCTATTGTATACAAATCATGAAATCACATTAATTTTTATAACTATGATCCTAGCTGGGATACCTCCTCATGACAACCAAGATCAATTAACATACACATAGGGGTAGTAAATGGTAAAATTTGTGTCTTGCCCAGTTTAGGTATGCTATCCACTATCATTGATATAGGGTTAATCAGCCTACTGCATGTGCCCTGTTTATACACCCTCACAATTAAGAATCTTTTTGAGTCTGGGCACATTTTAACCCTTTATGCCCTAATATCAGTCTGCATATTCTTGATACTATTCTGTATATAATTCTTAAGGTGCTGACAAGTAGAATTTGTTCAACAATCAAGAGCTTCATTATATTTAGTGATCATTTAATTTATTCTTGTGAATATTCTTACTGTAGCTTGTTGCTGAATGTGGCAACATTTATGCAAAACTACCCTCATGTCTCTTTTACCCTTTAGTTATCAGTGCATCACAAGGAGTTTGGAGGAAAGCAATCGCTGTCCTAAATGTAACTACATCATAGACAAGCCAGATCAAATCTTTCCTAACTTTCTATGTAAGTATTTTGAGAAAACTACAGTTAATAAAGTCAAACTCCTTTTAAACTGCAGTGTGCTAAGTGGTCATCCTGTACATAGTGATCAGTTGTCATTTTGTTAATGTGAAGCAATGAAGATGCAATGCATTTTTAGCACGATTTTGAAGAAACTGTACATTAGGAGACCAATAACGGTTGAAAATAGCATCTTATCATCACTTTTGATCCCATTCTGTGGAACCTGTATGACCTGGTCACCCCGTCATTATCCGTGTGACTGTAGTTACTTGTGCTTGGGATATTTTGATATCTTCTTTATAACTGGAAGGAGTATTTTTACTTATTGTGGTTGTACTTGATTTTCCTTTTTTTTTTTTGCTCTATAGAGGTGCAATATATGTATCATGTATTTTGTTTTCTGCTAATCCTAGTAAATGAATTGGTACAAAAAGTTAAAGAAAGAACCGGACAAAAAAAGAGCAAGATGGTTCTGGAGTCTCAGGT